TGCCTGGGTGTCTCAGGGGGTTAAGCATCCAACTCTGGATTTTGGCTCAGGTCAGATCTCAGGGTTATGAGATTGAGCCCCACAAAAGGTTCTGCTCTGGGCTGGGTGTGGAATCTGCTTGAACTTCTCTTTCTCCTCCACTTAAAAAAAAAAAAGACTATGATATTCCAGAGTTCTAGGTAATTTAGAATAAGAATTGGAGTAAACAGGGGATCCCTGGGTGGCTCAGAGGTTTAGTGCCTGCCTTTGGTCCAGGGCGTGATCCTGGGGCCCCGGAATCGAGTCCCGCATTGGGCTCCCTGCATGGAGCCTGCTTCTCCTTCTGCCTGTGTCTCTGCCCCCTGCCCCATCATGAATAAATAAATAAAATCTTTAAAAAAAAAGAATTAGAGTAAACAATTTTGCCTTTCTAGTCCTTTTTGCAGTGTTTTGTGAAGGAGCTTTCTGTGTTTTAAAGTAACAGTGCTAACAGCTAACACTTACTCTGTACTTTGTTCCAGGTTCTGTACTAGGTACCTGAGATGCATTTACTCATGTAATCCTTACAACAACCCCATGGGTTAAGTACCATTATTATCTTGATAGTACAGACCAGGAAATAGGCCCAAGGAGGCAGAGAAATATACCTAAGATCTAAGGCTAGGCAATGGCAAAGCCAGGATTTCATCCCACACAGCCTGACTCCAGGGTCCATCCACTTGACCTCTATTTGAGGGCCTTAAAGTCCAGGGATAAACCCAAGGACTTTTACTATCTTTAAAAAACAAAAAGATCTCTCACACAAGCTTATATTTTACTGGTACTTTTTCTTCCCCTATATATATGAAAAGAACTAGATCTCATTTATAATCTGATTTCAATTAAGAGTGAATCTACTGATTGCCAATTTTGTTACAGCAGGGGAAATGCTTGACCCTACAACATTTTCACTTGGTAGTCTATTATTTCCAGCTCCCAAGGAGGGCTGGCTTTTGTCTTGGAAAAATCTGCCAACTACATGGATCAAGTTCTAATTTTTCAGTAATACATCTACTGAAATAATATGGCAGCAATAGTCTTTCAATATTGTAAACCTCTCTTTTAAAGAGTATATCGTTGTACAACAGACAAAATATTTTTCTAAGCATTATTGCTTCATTTTTCTTCAGAGACTTTTACAATTTCATAATACGATGCTTTCAACTACACAGTTTGCAGCCTTTGGCCAACGTTTCATTCCATTGTTTAGAGAAATATTTAAATCAAATATAGTCTTTTTAAACAACCTTTAGACAACTAAAATGTCATAGGGGTGGTTTCAGTGACAGGTTTCTAAATATAAGTCAAAAGCCCCCAGTTATTATCGTATTACAAATTTTCCTATGAGAAATATATTTGCAAGACGAACAAGCAAACTAACAAAAGGAGAAACCAGAGCAATAAATTTGAGACATTATAAGAGAGCCTGTTTATTTAACATATACCTCAGCAATTCCAGGTTTAATAAACACAATTCAGGATAAAAATTTAACATTATAGAATGAGCTGGAAATTCTGGTTTAACCTGGATGTGCCCAGGACTTCCTGTTCCCAAATTGCAGAACGTTTGCCTTTTTCCTATCAGCACCTCAGACTAAATTTGTCCCAAGCTGAACTCTTTCTCTCCTCCTTCCTCTACTTTATCTCCTTGCTGCTTCTCAGGCCTCCCTCGATTCCTAGTGGGGCTGGAAGTTCGGAGTCCACATCCTCCCCCCTCCTCCTCATCTCCATCCCCAGGGCACAAGTGCCAGCTCTCAGGGGCTCCAGGACAGCTCCTCTGGAAGACCTCCTCGCTCCACCTCCAGCTCCTCCGACATCTTCTGCCTCCTGTTGCTCTGTTGACTTTCTGTGCAGCTTCCCAACGCTGCTCTTCCAAAACTTGAGCAGCAGAAGAGTGCCTAGACACCATGGCCCAAACTCAGCCTGGCATCTTATGCTGAAGGAGCAGTTATATGAGGTGTACTCGGCTAGTAGCTTTCTTTCTCATTACAAAGAAAAATAGAAGTCTGTATGGAGGTATGATGGATCCTAATATATTGTCCATGCGTGCAGTTTTGTGAGAAATCTGGACCTGGAACTTGCTTTGTGCATTTTCGCCTCCCTCCCTTGCTTAAACTGTCATCATGTCCAGCACTCCCCACCGCGCCCACTGCCAGCCTGCATTTTCTATCATCATGCCACTATCATCATGCCCCTGGAAGGGTCCAACTCAGACCTAAATCCAGACTCTGTCCTCCCTCTCAACCCTCAAAGACACATCATCAGATGCTGTCTTGAAGACTCACTTGGCTCATGCTTTGACATCCCAGAAAGTTCAAAGGCAGCTGGGCAGAGGCCAGCCAAGCACTTTGCTCCCACTTAGACACAAGTGCATTGCTATCACTTAGAGAAAAGTTTGTTTTAACACTGATTAATTTTTTTATTGTGCATATTTGTTTTTCTTCAGCTTTACTGAGTTATAATTGATAAGTAAAGTTGTAAGATATGTAAAGTGTGCACAGTAGGGATCTATGTATGCATTGTGAAAGGATTCCTCCCATCCAGTTAATTAATGCATCCATCACAAACACTGATTTTTCTTTTTTTAAACTTGGCTCCATGTCCAGTGTGGAGCTCAATCCAGGGCTTGAACTCATAACTGTGAGATCAAGATTTGAGCTGAAATCAAGAGTTGGATGCCTAACTGACTGAGCCAACCAGGTGCCCCTGACTTTTATTTTTCTTAAAGATCTTTATTTTTGAGTAACCTCTACACCCAGCATGGGGCTCAAACGCACAACCCTGAAAGATCAAGAGTTGCATGCTCTACCAAGTGAGCCAGCCAGGCACCCCAACCAATGCTGACTTTTAAAAAGATTGTGGGAATTCATATCTTGTGTTGTCAGGAGGAAGAATTACAAGGTTGACCACAGTGACCAGAATTAGACTTCATAAAATCGAGTTCTGAAATAACTAGATGCAGAGTTAATAGAGAAGGGACTTTCTCAGCTTGGTTCTCTGCCAGATGTCTTGGGGTTTCATCAATTTATGTTTCCCCCCGTGGTGTCTTTTCCCTGAAAATTTAAAAAGTGTGTAGTAATTCCACTGCAAGGAAAAACTGCAACTCGAAAACATGGGTTATTAAAAACTATACTATGCTAAATTTTTTTTTTTAAGAAAAATTATACCATTAACAGGAGAATTCTGAATGCCTTAGTTTCCCTCAAGGATTCTTCTTCTTTTTTTTTTAATGGTGCTCCAAGTGAAAATCTTTGAGATGATTATGGACTGGATATGTGGCAATATTGACTGTAAAAACAGAAGCCATTGTCACGGCCAAGAAATCCTCAGCCAACAGTGGATGCATGTAGGATAGATACCTGGATGGAATCCAAGGAGAGCTGCTCTCTCTCCGATTTTGTTTAATTTCAGTATAGCACACAGGCCCACCATGCCTACAAGTGAGGTGAGTGGGGCTCCACTTTTACGTTCTGCTACAAAGAGTGGAACCTTGGCAGGATACTCTCCTTCTCTGTGCTTTAGTCTTGTGGTCTGGGGTCTGATCCTCATTCTGCCCCTGACCAGCTATATACTCACCAATTTATTTCATTTCCTTGTGATTGTTTTCTCACCTTAAAAATGGATTATTCTAGGGACATCTGGGTGGCTCAGTGGTTGAGCATCTCCCTTTGGCTCAGGTCATGATCCAGAGGTCCTGGGATCCAGTCCTGCATCAGACTCCCCCATGGGGAGCCTGCTTCTCCCTCTGCCTATGTCTCTGCCTCTCTCTCTGTGTGTGTCTCTTATGAATAAATAAGTAAAAAATTTAAAAGCATGGATTATTCTAATGTCCACTTCATAATCTTGTTTTATTCAATAAGATCACACCTGAAAGCACTTAGAATAGCTCTTGTAAGAACACCTAAGTATTTCGTAACGAGAAGCTATGGCTGTTGCTAACACTAGTATTACTATTATGTTTTCCTGCAGGTTGTTGAGAAGCTCAAAAGCAAGAACGCTCACCAGGACAGGCTACTTAATTTGCGGAGCCCAGTACGAAATGAAAATGTAGGGTCCCGTGTTCACACATCATTAAGCATGTCAAGGCTGGTACAGCCCAACATTAAACCAAGCGCGGGACTCCCCGGAGCACAGAGCCTGTGCCGTGGCTCCGCTCGGCGCGCGCCCTGGAAGCCCGGCCCCCGCCCCAGGGCTTGAAGGGCTGCAACATTTGCACACAGTAGGTGCTAGATAAATGCTCCTGACCTTTGTGTCAGCACGCTCCTACCGCTCGAGCGCGCCAGCACGGCGACGTTGACCTTAACCCTGGCCACTCGCTGTCCCCTGTGCCTGCCTGGCAGGACACGACCTGGAACCGCGCTCGCGGGGGAGTCCCACGGCGAAGACCGGCCTCTCACACCCGGGACCAGCCTCGGCCTGGCCGGACCGGGCCGCCTGCGCCGCCCAGGACCCCGTCGGGAGGACCCGGGTCTGTCCGCCGCGCGGGGCGCATCTCAGACGCTCAAGGGTGCGGGGCCCCGCGGGTCCTGCGAGCGTCGCCGGCGTCCGGGGTGAGCCGTCCGGCCGTGTTTACTGGTTGCCGGAGGAGACGCGCCCCGCGCCCCGCCCCGCCCGCCCCGGCCGCCCCGGCCCCCGCACCCCGGCCCCCGCACCCCGCTCCGCGTCCCGAGCCCCGCCCCGAGCCCCGCCCCCAGCCGAGCCCCGCCCCCAGCCGAGCCCCGCCCCGAGCCCCGCCCCACCCCGCCCCGAGTCCCGCCCCACCCCGCCCCGAGCCCCGCCCCCAACCGAGCCCCGCCCCGCGCCCCGCCCCACTCCGCCCGAGCCCCGCCCCACCCCGCCCGATCCCCGCCCCCAGCCGAACCCCGCCCCCGAGCCCCGCCCCCAGCCGAGCCCCGTCCCGCCCCGCGCCGCCCGCCCCTGCCCCGCCCCGAACCCCGAGCCCCGAGCCCCGAGCCCCGCCCCGCCCCGAGCGCGCCGTCCGGTCCGCCGCGGCCGCTCCTCCCGCTGCAGGCGTCGCGACCCGGCCAGCGAGGCCGCCCGCAGCGCCTGCCGCCCGCAGCGCCTGCCGCCCGCGCCCGAGGTACGTCCCAGCCGGCCCGCCCGCCCGCCCGCCCGGGCCCCGAGGCCTCCCGGAACGCCGCGGAGCACCGCGGAGGGACCGCCGCCGAGCGCCTGGGCGCCGGGTCCTTGCAGACTTCTCCGTCCCAGGGCGTGGGTGCCTCGTGGGCATGGCTGCGCCTTGGAAGCGGCCTGAGGCTGCCGGCGGCCGGTTACTGCGAGGAAGTTACGGGCCGGCTGTGAGTCTGTGAAGTGCCTCTCAGCTGTAGTTGGTACCAGTTTGCTTCTCCGAGCATTTAGACGGGTGGAATTCGAGAGACGGCGCCTGTAGCCCCTCCGCGACCCCCGCCCCCCCCCGCCCCCGTTCATTGCACTTACACTACTCGCCTACTGAGAAGTGATTCAGAGCAATGTCTTCAAAATCTGGTGTGGTTGGGTTAATGACGCTCCAGCGAAGTCGCTGGCCTTGGTTGCTGGTGACCCTAGAGACGTTCAGTTGTCCTTGGATCCGGTTACTCAGTTACTCTCAGGAGGTGCTTAGGCATTGAGGATTTGGGCCTCGGGCTCTAAGACAAACACATCAAGTTAGGGCTGGCTTGGCCCCGTTAAATACCCCCTTTTGGGGGGATCCCTGGGTGGCGCAGCGGTTTGGCGCCTGCCTTTGGCCCAGGGCGCGATCCTGGAGACCCGGGATCGAATCCCACGTCGGGCTCCCGGTGCATGGAGCCTGCTTCTCCCTCTGCCTCTCTCTCTCTCCCTGTGACTATCATGAATAAAAAAAAATAAAAAAAAGTACCCCCTTTTGGACCTGGCATCAGGGTCCCACCACGCATAGTTTGTTAGTGGTGTTGCCAGAGCCAGGGGAGGAGTTGTGTTGGGCAAAGCTGCTAACCTAGGAGTTGTCCTCAGCCTAAGCATACTGACCTCAGAAATCTCGGGGACTCTCTCAGAGTCAAGCATAGGGTGGATTCTCCAACATGTTAGAGGAATTCTAATATTTAGAAACTTTGATTGCTGCCTTATATGGGACCTGTGTTTAGATTTCTCTGTTTCCTGGCTTATTGTGGAAAATTAGTAATATACTGTACAAATAAAAGTGATATTGTTTCCATTTGACATCTGCAAATTTTATTCCAATATGGTATCCTCTGTGAATTAAGAATGTTAGCGGCGCCTCAGTGGCTCAGTCCACGGAGTGGCCCACTCTTGATTTCCCCAGGGAATGATCTCAGGGTCCTAGGATGGAGCCACCACAGCTCCCTGCTCAGCTAGAGTCTGCTTGAGGATTCTCTTCTCCCTCTGCCGCTCCGCTGCTTGTGCTCTCTTTGAAATAAACAAACAAACAAATAAATAAATAAATAAATAAGTCTTGGAAAAAGATGTTAGCCTGTGCATAAGTATATAGTGTTTTTATATTATTTATATTTGTTTGGAAGAACAATTGAAAGTGAACTATAGACATCATGGGTCTTCATTCCCAAATATTCTAGTAGGTATCTCCTAAGAGCAAGGGCATTCTCCAACCAAAATGCAATGATCACATCCAGGGTGTTTGACATTGTTGCAGTAACTTTATCTAATGTACACTATCCACAAAAATTTTGCCAGTTGTCCCAATACTACTACTTGCTGCAGAATATTTTTCATTTCAGGATCATGCATTGTATTTAGTTATGTATCTTTAGTCTATAAATGTGGAAGAGTTCCTCAGTCTTTGTCTTTGGTGATACTGATAGTTTTAGAGCCTAGGTCATTTGTCTTGCAGAGTAAGTTTGTCTGATTGGTTTTCATTAGATTTTTGGTAGAGGGATCCCTGGGTGGCTCAGTGGTTTAGTGTCACCTTTGGCCCAGGGCGCGATCCTGGAGTCCCGGGATCGAGTCCTGCGTTGGGCTCCTGGCATGGAGCCTGCTTCTCCCTCTGTCTCTCTCTCTGTCTCTCTCTCTGTCTCTGTCCCCCCCTCTCTCTCTATCATGAATAAATAAATAAAATCTTACAAAAAAAAGATTTTTGGTAAATACTATAAAGTGATGTGCCTTAGTGTATCACACCAGGAGGTGCATGATGTCACTTGGTCCCACTTTTGGTGATCCTGATGGGGGTGGTATTTGCCAGAGTTTTCCACTGTAAAAGTGGGGAAAATAAGCTTTAGCAATAAATAAGTGATCATATTGATTAATCTTATTGATTCATGTTGAGATTTTTAGGATAAATTTTACTACCTACATAAAGGAAAATATTCAGGGTGCCTGAGTGGCTCAGTTAAGTGTCCAACTCTTGATTTTTGGCTCAGGTCATGATCTCAGCATCAGGGGATTGAGCCCCGTCTGGGGCTCTATGCTCAGGATGAGTCAGTGTGAGATAACTCACACCCTTTCCTTCTGTCCTTCCCCCCACCTGTACTCACACACATGCACTCTCTCTAAATAAATAAATAAATAAAATCTTAAAAAAAAAAGGAAAATACCAAGCCCAAGATTTTAATTGACCCAAAAGACCTAAATTTTACTGAGACAGGGATCCCTGGGTGGTGCAGCGGTTTGGCGCCTGCCTTTGGCCCAAGGCGCGATCCTGGAGACGCGGGATCGAATCCCACGTCAGGCTCCCGGTGCATGGAGCCTGCTTCTCCCTCTGCCTATGTCTCTGCCTCTCTCTCTCTCTGTGTGTGACTATCATAAATAAATAAAAAAATAAAAAAAAGATTTAAAAAAATAAATTTTACTGAGACAAAAAGTAGAAGCTGAAAGAGCAGCATTTATCATAGTTCATCTTTCAGTTTGCTAAATACTTATATCTGAGATAATCTTATAACTCAGGTAAGCAAGGCAAGAATTTCCCATTATATAGATGTATTAGGCTTATCCAATTAGCAGCTGATGTAGCTGGGACTTAAACTTACTTTCTTTCTTTCTTTCTTTCTTTCTTTCTTTCTTTCTTTCTTTCTTAAATATTTACTTATTTATTTATTCATGATAGACATAGAGAGAGAGAGAGGCAGAGACACAGGCAGAGCGAGCAGGCTCCACGCCAGGAACCTGATGTGGGACTCCATCCCGGGACTCCAGGATCGCGCCCTGGGCCAAAGGCAGGTGCCAAACCGTTGAGGCACCCAGGGATCCCTCTTAAACATCTTGTCAAAGTTTAGTACTTTTCTGACCACACTATCATGCACTGAAAAGCAGACTAAAATATAATAGCATGCAGCTATATGAGGAAGTAAAATACTGCAGAGACCAAAGGTGCTAGTTTGGGGTTCAAGCAGTCCTGATTATATCCCTTATCTGTGATGACATGGGCAAAGAAATTACATGTATCTCTGAGTTTTAGTTTCTTCATCTGAATCGTGGGATCAGAGAACTTACCACAGAGCGTAGTTTTGGGACTTCACGGTTAATATAGATAATGCATCCAAGAACGAGAGTAAGTGCTTATTAATATTAGCTATCTCTCTGTAACTTTCAGAATATGCTTCAGCATTTACTCCACAACTGCCAACTCAACAATCAGTAATTGAGGATTTGTACAAGGTACTGAAGGTAAAAAATGAATTTGACATAGTTTCTGCTCTCAGTGAAGAATCAAGAGTTCATAATCAAGAGAAACAGACACATAAACAGATGGCTTTTGTTGGTATCATCCATGAACCAAATTTAATGCTGCATTTTTCTCAAGGTGGGTTTACCTCTAATCAAGTCATCAGCAGAGCTGTACTAGACTAGAAAATGTTGTGAATACTGCAAGTGGTATTATGTGACTTGAAGTCTAACCGCTCAAGCATGGAGGGCAGAAGCACCCTTTGGGGAAATTTACAAATATAGCTTTGAGCGGAACAGGTTAACTTTGTTGTGGTGTTTGAAATAAGGTATTGGGGCGGGGGAGAAATAAGGAATGGAAGCTGAAAAATGTTACCAGATTATTAAAATAATACCAGTTAGCAAAAAGGTGTATCAGCCATTTGGTAAAAAGTGATTGGATTTGGTATCATAGGCCACAAATATATGGTGGCTCTGCTCTGTTAGTGTTTTCACATACCTAAAAGACCTGAACCAAGTTGAGGCTCTCGTATATAGCACCTTTGAGACTTTGAACAACTTTCTTCTCTGTAAAACAGGTTTGCTAACTGTCTGATGGGGTTGTTATGAGAAGAAGATGTAAATAGCAACACAGATTATCAACAGCTATAGCTCCTCAAAGCAAAGGCCCTGGAGCTGGTCAGGTATAATTATGAAGGAAGTACAGTCAGTTTTCCCTTTATTTCCCCACTATTTCCAACTGTAAAAAATTATGAAAAAATACACCTAACATAAACTTTGCCATCTTAACCATATTTACGTGTACAGTGCAGTGGCAGTCAGTACATTTATATTATCTTGCAACCATTGCCACCATCCATTTCTAGAACTCTTTTTTTTTTAGAACCGTTTTCATCTTACAAAACAGACTCTGTACCCACTAAACAATAACTTCCCATTCTCCTCTTTTCCTTGGCCCTGGAAACCCCCATTCTATTTTCTGTTTCTGAATTTGACTATACAAGGTACCTCATATAAGTGGAATCATTCAGTGTGTCATTTTGTGACTGCTTTATTAAAATAATGTCCTCAAGACTCATCCATATTGTAGCATGCAAAATTTCCTTTCTTTTTGAGGCCAAATAATATTCTATTGTATGTATATATCACATTTTCTTTATCCTTTCATCTGTCCGTGGACACTTGGGTTGTTTCCACCTTTTGGCTCTAGTGAGTAATTCTGCTTGATCACGGGTGCACAAATATCTCTTCAAGACTTTGCTTTCAATTCTTTTGGGATTGCTGGATGATATGATGTTTCCATTTTGAATTTTTTGAGGAACCACCATACTGCTTTCCATAGTAGCCTAAACCATTTTACATTGCCATCAGCAGTGTGCGAAGACTCCATTTCTCTATATCCTCATCCACACTTACATTTTTCTTTCCTGCCTCCTTTTTTCTTTTCATAGTATCCATCCTAATAGGTATAAGGCAGTATCCATTTGTACT